TCAGATTTTTAAGACAAACGTTAAGATAATACAAAAATTATATAAAAATATTATTATAAATACAAATTATTTCATATATAAAAATTGATGTGATATAAGTTAAACGAAAGAATGAATATTATAAGTCAACCTAATGAAGGAGAAAAAAAAATGTGTTTATTCTTTGTTTTTCTTGTAGTGTACTAAAATTCTCCAAAATGACGTCGTTTTAGCTTGTAATATATACAATTGGCATAGTCAGTTGCATACAATGCCTAATTTTTTATGGCTATTATTGTAGAGGTTTTGCATAAATGTTTTTTTTTATTGTCAGGAGCATACTATCATTTTATAAGACATGTACAAAAAATAGATTTTTATGATGAGATTTTATTATTGTGGTCACCCCACCCCCCCCACCCAAAATTATGTTTGACCCATACAAATTGATATGTCATAAAATGAAGAGTAAATGATTTTTTCCCACCCAAATAATGGGTTGATGACACTTTCTCACCCACAGACTTTTAAAATGTCATTTTATTGTCTAAATTTGTATTCTGTTTTCGATTTCATCATCGTTGTGACCCTATACTACCATCATTCTCTTCTCTAATCATAACTAACCAGAATCCCTCAAACCCTACTTCCGTCGACCCCGTCAATTACTGACAATCAAGCGATTAGGTTTGTGCAGCCATCCCTCCCAAGTCAAATTCTGATCAATCTCAATCACCAAAATTCAACCTTCCACTATCAAAAGACTTATCGATCTACCTTCTTCAAAACCCCTAACAGCTTGGACTAAGTTTGTTTTCTGTTTGCCGTTAGAATATAAATTTGGGTAGTAAAGTGGTATTTTAAAAACTTGTGAATGGAAAAGTGTCATTAAGCGATTATTTGGGTGGAAAAAAGTCATTAATTCTAAAATGAATGGATAAATAGATATCAATAGATGTTTAATAAATATAAATGAATAACGTGTCAATTAAAAAGCAGCGTCACATCAGTTTGTATACATTAGTTTGTACACATAATAATTCTTGTTAATTACATTAATATTTATTAACACTTAGTATTACTACACTGACAAACAAATCTCACTGACGTGGCATCTGAGTTGGCATGAACACATCAACTGACGACTTTTACTAAACATGAACAGTTGTTCTTTAGGGATGAACAACCGTTCCTTGTAGTTCCTTGTGAAGGAATGGTAGTTCCTTCATAAGGAAAGGAACAACTATTCCTTCACACAGAATGATCATTCCATATAAAGAAACAGCCATTCCATACAGAATGACCATTCCGTATGAGGGAATAGTCATTTCGTATGAAGGAATGGTTGTTGCTTTATAAGAAACAGTCATTCCTCATTCATGAGTAGGGATGGGCACGGGCTGGGGCGGGGCCGGGGACCACTATCTCCGGCCCCGGCCCAAAAACCCAAGGGGATTCCTCGGTCCTGGCCCGAAAAAAGCTCGTTCCCCCGAATTCCCTGTTTGGGGGTTTTTTTGTATTTTTTATCCTTTGTTTTATACTTTTATTATTATTTTCTCCAAATTATATATACCAACAAAAAAAAAAAAAAATTAAATATATAATATACATATTAAATATAAAAATCATCATACTAAATTGATAATATATTACAGTATCAACTATCCACATCAGTACTTCAGTAGATTCTATACATTACAGTATCAACTATCCACATCAGTACTTCAGTAGATTCTATACATTACAGTATCAACTATCAAGATTCAGAAACAAAATTTTTTTGGATTCGTTATTATAATCAATAGCGAATCCAAAAATTTATGTTAGGGTTGGTCAAAATAAAAATTAATTATACATTAATATTTTTTTTCAATTAACAATTCTATTATGGTAGGGCAAAATCCAGAAATTATACATATTAGTATTTTTTTGTTCAAATGCCCACCTTCAAGTTCTCAACAAGTGTTGGATCCGCCCCTGATTAATTATTATAATGAATCCAAATATCAAAATAATAATTATAATACATTATACATATATATAAATATATTATATATTAACAGTATGATATTATGTATTATTGTATTAAGTAATAAGTATACATATATAATGTCTCTTTAATATATAATATAATGTATTATATATGATACATTATACATATATATTATAATAAATTCTAAATAAATAACTATCACAATTCACAATATAACAAAGACAATTAGGTAATAGAATTGAAATAATGATTCAATGAGGGACAAAAAAAAAATTATAGTGATTTATTGATTCATTATAATCAATCAAAACAACAAATAATATATTACATATATATTATATATTAACGTAAGATTATAGATAATAGCATATTATGTATAAATTATAATGTACAACATATATATATATATATATATTATTGTATAATGTATAATTTATAATTGATTTTCAAATATTAAAATTAATATATATATATACGGGCTGGGGACGGGGCGGGCCGGGGCAACACCTATCCCGGCCCTGGCCCGTCCTCAAATTTTGGGGCCAAATTTGGGCCCGATCTCGACCCGAATCCAGAAAAATTTGAGAAAAATCCGCCCCGTTTGGGGCGGGTCAGGGCGGACCCCCGCAGGGCCGGGCTTTGTGCCCATCCCTATTCATGAGGAACGACTAACAAGGAACAGTCGTTCCTTATCAACAAATGATTGTTCCTTCATACATAGTCGTTCCTTGAGAAACGAGAATGGCCGTTCCGTAGAGAGGAACGACCTTTCTTTCCATGAAGAACGATCGCTCCTTTTATGAACGGTCATTTCTTAGGTCTAGTCAAAATCATTTTATATCCGAGGTGTGATACTACTAACTCAACTGACATGTCAGAGTTCCTTTTATTGATTTAACTATTAACAAGTTTTAAATTCAAAACGACAATGATGGAACTATGAATGAGACAGTAATTTTTATAGTTGTACCAAAGAATGCTTCAATTATTATTATATCAATACAAAATTACAAATTATTGAATTACTATCTAATTAGATTAATAATATTTTTTATATTTTTATCATCTCAAATCTATTGCATTCAAACTAGTACTAATTAATCACATAATCAAATATTAATTACTACTCGAAATAATAATATAAAGGAAATTATATTAAATAATCCATCTTTGAGATCTCGATTAAAAAATGACATGTTTTAAAAATATCTTAAGAAATGACTAATAAACTTTTGATAGAAACTGATAAAATTCTTATCAGTGACCAATAGCATTCGCATTAGTCACTTTGGGTTTTTAGTTTGGAAATGATCATTTGGTCAAAGGGTATTGAAATTTTGGAATAAAGCTATTTTTTGAGATACTTTTATAAAGATTATTTCTTAATTCACACCCGCAAATGTATTATTATTGTTATTATTATTGTTGTTGTTGTTGTTATTTTCTAGTAAACAAGTGATATATATGGTAGCCAATTGCGTTTGACCATGTCATACTATAATTAAAAATGTTTACATGATAAAATCAATCAAATTTTTCATCCCTTCAATATTTAAATCGGAAAGTTGTCGTTTCTTATAAAAATATGCAATATTATATTTTGTCTGTAAGTAGAAGAATCTCTTTAATTTTAGTACAAATCTATGACAAATCAACTTTCCTAAGAAATTATTCATAATTAATTAATGTTGGCAACTATAAAAATGGCCCCATATTGGGTATTTATATCTATATTTTGATAATAAACTAAACCTCACTGAGCTAGATAAAGATAGTAAGTTGTTGGTGTTATGGAAAACAACACAAAATAAAAAGAAAATATTGCTATGTTAATATAACCTTTAGAATAAAGATATGTTGACAAACGAATCTCACAAACCGACATGGCACCTGAATTGGCATTAAAACATCAACTGGCGACTTTTACTAAACATGAACTATCGTTCCTTAGGGACGAACGATCGTTCCTTGAGTGTTCCATATGAAGGAACGATTGTTCTTTATTAAGGAATGATTGTTCCTTCATACATGACAGTTCCTTGAGGAACGAGAATGATCGACCATTCCATAAGGAATAAACGATACATTTATACTCAAATTTAGATAATTTTTTTTTTTTTTATTATTGTTACATCATTCATCCTTATTTATTATGTTGATTTTCTATATACATATTTTTATTGTTTAGAGCTACATTTTCAAACTAAACTTACAAAGCTCTTTCATTGACACATCATTTGTCTATATTTATTGAGTTGACTTTTTATATATATTTATAATTTTATGCTACATCAATTTGTAAAAAGAATTATATATCTAGTATTATATCTTTAATTTGTAAAAAGAATTATATATTTAGTATTATATCTTTAATGAGAAAACTACTTAAAAGATCTTTTTCCTTTTGACAAGTTAAAGTATGACTTTTTTTTATAAGCTCTTTTCATCTACTTTTGTTCCATTTTTATCCATGGACAACTTAAGCAACTTTAGCTTTAAAGTGACTCTAACGCTAGATTCCACGTGACTAGCACTAGAGTCACTAGAATTTAGTTTTTAAACTAATTATATTTTATTAACAAAATTAAGAAATAAAATATATTGTTTTTAAAAAAGATAGTAAATGTATATAAGAGTTGTTTTAATTTTCTAAAAATAAAAAAATTAAAAAAAATTAATTTTTTTTTTTTTTTTTTTAACTCTAGTACTAGAGTCTAGAGTGAAAAGGCTAGATAAGATTTATTTACTAAGCCAATTAAAAAGAAATTGGATGAATGGTCTTATTAAAAAGACGTTTTGTTGCATAATTCACAATTTGTGACATAATAATAAGTAATAAATTAATTAAGGAAAAAGAATAATGTAGTTACAACTTATGACAAAGACGGAAAAGGACAAATCAATTAAAGTAACACGTCTAAGTTAAAATAATTCATGATTGAACAATAGAATAATGTAGCAGGTCTGACTTTTATGCCTATAAATCCCTAAAGCAACACTGGAAGTAAACCAAAAAAGCCACCTTCACGGGACAAAACCTGAAGCAGAAAATGGCAGATAGTAAACCTGAAGGAATTGAGACCCTGGAAATGGAAAGAAACCTGAAAGAGAAAAAGGTTTCATGGGCGAAGCTGCGTCGAATCGACTCTCTCAATATGGAGGCTGGAAGAATTTCCAGGACGCATGGTCATGGCTCCAAGGTTTGTATAAAAATAATTATAACACTTTCAGGATTTTTGCTTTGTGTTTGGCTCCCTGGAAAATGATTCCATATTGTTCTGAATTATTTGCAGGTTGATTGGAGGACAACGTTCATTCTTGCATTCCAGAGCATTGGGATTGTGTATGGAGATATTGGAACCTCTCCACTTTATGTTTATGCCAGCACTTTCACCGATGGCATAAAAAATAATGACGATATTCTTGGAGTGTTGTCACTCATCATCTACACTATTGTGCTTGTTCCCTTGATCAAATATGTCTTCATTGTGTTGTGGGCAAATGACAACGGAGATGGTTAGTTTTGCTGTATATCTATACTTCTTTTGAAATCTTAACCATCATCCTGTAATGCGGACATCCGATTTTTTTAATTTCCACACCATAGTTTAGTACTACTATTAATGTTAAAAGATAAAATTTTATAGTTTTTAACGTTAAAGTGAAAATGGAATTCATGCATTTCTCTTTTTTTCTTTCCATTAACTCGGATCTCTTTTGTTTCTTTGATTTTTGTTCAGATCCTTCCTTTTCTATCAAGAGAAGGGATGGTGAAAGATATTCTATAATAGATATCTCTTCTTCCTGTTTAGTCGTCCTCGTTTAGAAAGTCTTTTTCTTTTACAGTTTCCTCCCTTTCTTCCCTTTGTAGGTTTTTTTCAGTTTTTTAGTAAAAATGGGTGACAACATTTTCTCTATAAACATTAATAGACGATAGTAAAAGGAGACTTAAAAAATGCTGATGGAGTTTTCAGTTACCTAATGTTCCTTAATTTCTAAGTGCTCAAGCACATGGTGGGTAGAGTTATTCAGTCAACTTCTCAATATAATATTATTTAATCAAGTTGAGGAATATTTAAGGATTATGTTATCGTTGTATCTCTATTATTAATTAATAAAAAATTCGTTGAAAAGAGTCTTTAAAAACTGATATCTGAATTATTTATGAGACTCTAACGAAAAGAATTGCAAAGGTGGATTGAGTTTTTGATTGATTAATAATTATTTCTGAAGTCTTGAAAAAATAACTCTTGTTAACAGAAGCCTTATTCTATTAGGCAAAACTAAATAGCATCTGCGTAAATTTCAATTATGCATATGATCAGGTAAACTCAGATCAGGAGAAGATCCGAATTCGAATTATATATATATCGAATAATTAGTTATATTTATTTGTATGCAGGTGGAACATTCGCACTCTATTCCTTAATATGCCGATATGCAAAGGTGAGTTTAATTCCAAATGATCAACCTGAGGACAGGGAGCTATCTAATTACAGACTTGACAAGCCATCGAGCCAGTTAAAACGTGCTCAGAAAATTAAAGATAAGCTTGAGACGAGTACTTATGCGAAAACCATTCTTTTCCTTGTCACTATCCTTGGAACTTCCATGGTGATCGGAGATGGAGTTTTGACTCCTTGCATTTCAGTCCTTTCCGCTGTCAGTGGGATCAAGTCTGTTGGCGATGGTAACACACTTAGTCAAGGTAATGCACTTACTCATAGTTCTTTTTTGGATCCATTTTATAAGAAGAATATGAAAAAAAAAAAAAAACATTTTTCAATCTGTTGGTATCTATCAAAATTTAGTATATAATTGTAATCTTAACTTGTGTCTTCAGGAAATAGAGACCATGCATATCTTCTTTATCTAGATAAATGAGTCTATCTCCATGATTCTAAAATTTGACTCGGATACCATTATTTAGANGTCTGTGTATTAGTGAGACGATTAATTGGTGTTAATCGCGATACTATACACTGCCGATATGATGAGGAGCCTATGGGTCACACACATAGAAGATAATTTAAGATCCATGAAGAAAGAATGTTTTTTTTTTCTTTTAAGGCGAAAGGGTATTTTGGTAATTTCACAGTGCAATTAAATTTGCTGAGGTCGTAGCCTTTATTTAATTTGTTAGAAAAATTAAATAAGTGAAATTACGTTTAAATGTTTGTCGCACATATTTAAATACATTATCATTATTGTTAAATGTTAATATATATTTAACTATATATTAATTGATTTTAATTGAGATAATGATGGAAAATAAAAAAAATCAAATTGGGAGTGTTTGGCAACTTGGGGCGTTTGGGTTGAAGCCCAAGCCTATTCCGTATGGGATTAGGGCAATTGTTTTTACTATAAAAAGAAAAGTGTGTTAATTAAATTAGGTAGATTTTTCTTTGAAAAAGAAAAACACACAGCCCCAAATATTGACACTTCCATGGCAGATTGATTTTGCCTTAGAAATCAATTTCATTGATTTCTTTTTTCTTCTTAATCTTGAAGCCAAAGAGGATCTAGCAAATACTTCTTTGGTTCTTTTAAGATTGTCTTCGTGTGGACTACACAGGTTCGATCCTACCTTGGATCGGTAGCAAAACACTCGTCGACAAATTTGGAGGAGCCTCCAAACGTGTGTATGGTTTCTTAACTCATGTTTAATATTTCTGCAGATTCTTATTATGATAAATTATAAAATTATACCCTTGATCTTGGCTCATGTAAACGATCCCTGAGTTATATTATTTTTGTTTCCGCTACGTATACAGGACCGTTTGCTAACAATATGTTGTACATTATAATTTATATATAATATGCTATTATCTATAATCTTACGTTAATAAATAATATATATGTAATATATATTATTTGTTATTTTGATTGATTATAATGAATCAATAAATCATTATAAATTTTTTTTTTTGTCCCTCATTGAATCATTATTTCAATTCTATTACCTAATTGCCTTTGTTATATTGTGATAACTATTTATTTAGAGTTTATTATAATATATATGGTAGTTATTTATTTAAAATTTATTATAATATATATGTATAATGTATCATATGTAATACATTATATATTAAAGAGACATTATATATGTTAATACTTATTACTTAATACAATAATACATAATATTATACTGTTAATATATAATATATTTATATAATGTATTATAATTATCATTTTGATATTTGGATTCATTATAATCATTAATCGGGGGCAGATCCAACACTTGTTGAGGGTGGGCATTTTAACAAAAAAATACTAATATGTATAATTATGGGGTGGGTCTTTTTGGCAGCTCATGTTTTGAATTTTGATACTGTCATGTTTTGAATCTTTTGATGGTTTTTATATTTAATATGTACATTATAGATTTAATTTCTTTTTTGATGATATGGTCTTTATGTTTAATATGTATATTATATATTTAATTTTTTTTTTGTTGGTATATATAATTTGGAGAAAAGGATAATAAAACTAATAAGGATACAAAAAGACAGAAAACCCGATTCGTTTGGGGAACAGGCTTTTTTCGAGGATTCCCCGAATTCCCCGAATGGGCTTCGGGTCGGGATCGGGGAATCCCCTTGGGCTTTCGAGCAGAGGCCAGAGACAAGGGTCCCCAGCCCCGCCCCGCCCCGCCCTGTGTCCATCCCTAGGTGGGTGGGGGTATTTTGCTATAAATTAAAGTTTTATATGGCTAGGGTGTTTTAGCAAAATTTCAAATGTAGGGGGTTAAAAAAATATTTCAAAAAATAATATTAAATTTAATATTTAAAAATGAGGGCAATTTAGTGTTCTCCATAAATACCCACCAATTTGTCCTCCCAACCAAACATATTATTCACCTATTTATTCGAACCAACCAAATACATTTACAAAACATTTATAATAATCTTAAAGGTAATCTATCTTTCCATTAATATAATATCCCCCTATAATAAAATATTATATGATCCAAACACCCCCTTAAAAGCATGGTTGAGAAATTGTGTATTATATCGTATATCGAAAACCTAATTTTTTGAATCGTGTATCGCGTATCGTATCATATCGTAGGATACACCTTTTTCAAAAAAATAAAAAAAATAATAAAAATTTTCTAAAAATTAATATTATTCGAAAGATTAATTAAAGAATTTTGTGGTATTATAGCTTTAAATTATGATGTTACGTAATCAAAATTAATCACAAAATTAAGAATCTATATCATTTTCTCTCAACCATTAATATTATTTCCAAGATCAATGTCAATATTTACATCTCCACTTGTATTATTATTATCATGCAAAATGGGCAACAAGTGTTCCTCTTCACTTTCTCCATGCAAAATGAGTCAATTTGGGTAGGTTTTAGTAAACCGGGTCGGGTAACCCGGATCCAACCCGAAATTTTTTTAGGCCTTTAGCCCAAATTAATAAAGTCATATCGATTTGTATCGATATTTTTAAGAATACGAATGAATACATATCGTATCATAGGATACATATCAATATATCGAAAGATTTAGGATACACTCTCTGATACGTATCGTTGACAACCCGTATCGAATCGTATCGTAGGATATGTATCGTGTATTGTAAGATTCTAACAACCATGCTTAACATGGCTGTCAAATTGTGTATCATATCGTGTATCGTATCGTACTATTGTAGGATACGCCTTTTTCAAAAAAATTAATAAAATAATAAAAAATTTCTAAAAATTAATATCATCCCCATGATTAATTAACGAATTTTGTGGTATAATTGGCTTTAAATTATGATATTACATAATCAAAATTAATAATCTATATTATTTCCTCTCAATCATTCATATCATTTCTAAGATCAATGTCAATGTCAATATCAATATCTATATCTTCACTTGTATTATTATTATCATGCAAAATGGGCAACACATCTTCCTTTTCACTTTCTCTATGCAAAATGCGTAAATTTGGGCAGGTTCTAGTGAACCGGGTTGGGTGACCCGGATCTAACCCGAATTTTTTTTGGGCCTTTGGCCCAAATTAATAAAGTTGTATCAATCTGTACCGATATTTTTAAGGATACGTATCGTATCGTAGGATACATATCTGTTAGAGTCATGAAAGTGACTCTACTTTGGTGACAAAAAGACCCCATGTGTTATTGAATTGAAGTTATATTGAGACAATTAAGAGAAATTATGAATTTATGTTTAAAAATCATATTTTGAGTTTTTCTTACTAATTTGGCATGTTTGGATTGAAATTTGAGATTGTGTAAGTTGATTTTAGGATGTGATTTATTTTCTAGGGTTGATGTTGTCTCATTTATGCCATTCAGGGGTCAAATTGTCATAATCTTGGGGTTGATTTTGTCGTTTTTAATATGCAGGGACGAAATGGATATTTGCCGCAATGGGTATAAACTTCCAGGTGACCACCGTGAAAAGGGGGACGCGCGCGCAAACCAACCCAAAACCCTAGCCTCCCACCAGAATCTGGTCGCCGGCCGGCGACGTTTCATCTTCCAGGCCGGCGACCCTTCATCTTCTGCCGGCGTGCCTCCACCACAAGCCACCACCGTGAAACACGCGCTGCCGCGACGCTTCGCCTTCACACCACAACGTCGTTTTGTCTTCCCGGCCAGTTTTGGTCGTTTTCCGATGACGTTCCAGCTCCCCAACGGTAGATCTTCATTCCCCATAGCCGGATCTAGGATTTCCAAGCTTCAGCCACCGCGAAAACTGCCGGAATCCATGGTTTTGCCGTTGCGCCTCTTCATCTTCCAGGCCAGATCTTGCTCATTTCCGGCGACTTCTCACCTCCCTAGGACCTGATCTGAACTCCCCATCACCAGAGCTTTCCATTGGTACCTTCGGATCCCATTTCCGCCATCGTTTTCCAGAGACCCGCCGGAAAATTAACGTTTGCCGGCGAACCGCGGCTGTTCGTATTCCGGGCTGTCCGTTGGTCGTTTTCGGCCCTTCTTTGCATCATATCGCTGTCGGTTACCTCCTCTTCGCCATGATCAGCTCTGTTTCTACTATTTCAGCCTCCGTCATCACCACCGTGAGCGGCTAATTTCCCGGTTGTCCGTTACGGTGTAGGCAAGATCGAGATTGACTCCACTAATCTCCTCATCAGCTCTCGACTAGTTGGATGAGCCCGAATGTTGGATATTTGGTTAAGTTTCTTGTATTCAGATTATATTTGTTTTCGTTTCAGTTTGTTTGCGATACTTTAATATTATTCTGATACTCGACGTGTTGAATTGATAATGTCCATTGAGAACGTTTATTGATATATAACTTTTTGCATAATTGAATGTCGGTTTGAGATTATTGAATGTTGATTATGACTTTAAATTGCTTCGGTACTGATTGCAATCAAGTTGTAGTAGCGTTTAATATCATTTCTACTAGGAATGCATTTATTGTGTAATTAGTTGATTGGATGATACAGGTTGATAGGTTGTACTTGTTAACGTTGTACCAACTAGTGGTGTTTAAGGGTTTAGCATTTTTCGGTTAGTCAATGATAGTCTTTAACCAATCGATCTGTAACTAAGACGACGGGGAGACAGGATAGATTTATCTAGATTGCTGAGAGATATTTTATGATTTGCCTAGCCTTGTAGGTTTAGGAAATTGAAGAGCAAGGAGAGGAATTGTGAGAGTTGGTCTTGAGTCAAACCGAACCGTAGCGACAACGTTTTAATATTGTGTTTTAGTTAGCAATTTATTCAATGCTTTTTAATTTCCTGCAAGTAATTAGTTCTTTAGTTTTAATCAAAATTCTGTCAATTCTCTTTCGTTAACTCAAATATAATAGGTCATTAGTCTTGCTCTCTGTGGATTCGACCCTGCTTACCGTAACTACGGTATTTAGGTTTAATTTTGTG